TGACATCATTTTTGTTCTCACGTCAGTTGAGTTACAGTGATGACGACACACTACCAAGTCAAGTTGACAAGCTGCATTGTCTCATACCGGATATACTTGATCTACTTCACGGTATTTCTTAACCCATTTACTACTGGCACCGGATTATAAGTGTTAAAGCTATATGAAATATGTTAAATCGGTAGTCAACACGTTAACTTCAAGGAGAAATGAAGTTAAACTTATTTCATCTTCATGTTTAGATAATGTAGGCCCCTGCTAACCAGCTTTATGAATTGTCATTCGTAATTATGTTATTGAATGTAACTCATGCCTCATTTCCATCATCATTCTTGGAATAATTTCACTCCTTATTACAAGTTTTCAAATTATCTAAGCAGCATGTTTGTTTTACATTCAGATATAGAAACACTTAAGTACACTTGTGTTGTTTGCAATTTCATGAATCAAGTAATGATGATCGACGATGTAGATTCATTAAAAAAACAGCTGTTTTGAAAATGTTGTGAGGATTTGTTGAAACATTCGAATTTGGGTCGTAACCGCAGTTTAGTATAGGTTTGGTATACATTTCATGCATTATTATGTTGTTGTTTTGTTTGGGGTGCCTTTTCAAGATTTTTGGATAGCTATTTGAATTTTTGAAATAACATAAGTCTGCAATGGGACTATTTTCCCTCAACAGATATACAAATTATGGGATGATTTTGAATCTTTAAACATTTACACGCCATCAACATATATTTATTTAATATGAATCAACTTTTTTGATATTACTATGTATTTATATTTATATATGTAAACTATATTATTCATTATTCTTGGATTGCTACTAGAATAGCACTATTTATTGTAATGTAAATAGGTTTGTAGGACAAAAGAATTACCTAAATTAATTCAAAAGATGCATATGTGTATCGGAAGATCAGGTGACAGCGTCTAATAGTAATTGTTTGTGTAAGTCATAATTCAACTTTGCTGATGTTTACAGCTGGTAACGAAACTCGAGTGGCATTATTATTTGATTATGCATTATTGATGTGCATTTTATAACAAATATGTGATTGATAGTTATAGGAATGAATACGAGCTGTTACTATATTATAATATTGGCTCTGTGAATAAGTATTTACGTCTGCTTTATAAAAATACGAATATGTAAACCATCAAACACGTGTACACGGTATGGTCTTATTTCTCTCTTTGTCCATGCTTCGTATGTTTGCAATTGGTTTGAGAGACGCATGCACCAACAAACAAGAAAAAATGATAATTTGTTTTTGTTTCATGAATATGTAAAAGGGGTAATAGTTCCGCATGCTAATTTAATATCTAATCTGAAGGATTGGAAATTGACATAATTTGAATATATTTCAATTAACTTGAATTTATTCAACACTTTCATAAAAAGAAAATATGCAAAGTCAAATATAACAGTACAGATCCACTCTTCTTGTATTTATACACCGTTGCCAATGAGTGGGATAATTTGTTTAAACCTCTTTTCATTAAAGGTAATACAAAGTTTTGGGAAAATTTTGAAAATTGGGTGGATAGGGATTCTTTACAATTTTGATATATTTGGATGCCCCTGTGGATGTATTATAAGCACTACAAAATGTAGCCCCTAAAACACTTCTGCTTTCGAGAAAAATTGAATATCAAAATTTAACTTTGCTCCCGGTAAATTTTGATAAAATTTCAAATTTCTTTCCAATTAGAGCTTGGTGCATGATGCACGTACAAGTTCGCCCGGTACGTTACATTATCAAGAAAATGGCTTTGCCCAAGTCATGCTAAAAGGCATTACATCATGCCAAGAATATCTTTTTGTCATGTAGTGGTGGATCCAGGGGGCCCAGCCCCCCCCCCCCCCAACTCCGGGGTCGGAATGACCGCATGCCTGTTACCAAAATGTCCGGTAAAGGGGTACTAATCCGGCCCGAGAATTGTGAAGAAGGGGGTGTATTTGACTTTTCACCCGGAGATTTCTTTAAAAAGGGGGTGTCTTTTTTTTCTTTCTCTCATCTCTTTGGACTCCTGAGAAATTATTCGACTTTAGGGGGGTACATTGAGCATTTTTCTGAATTAAGGGGGGTCTCCAAGGCAGGAAAAGCCTGCGAAAAGCCCGTGAAAGGGGGGTTCGGAAATGTTGGCAGTCCTCGGATTTCAAAAAGAGGGAACAAGCATACGCGTATCCTAAATTACACTGAGTGGGGGGGGGGGCTGGGCCCAGGGCCCCTCCCTTGGGGAAAAAGACAGGTATAACACATAAATTTTTACTTTATTTGAGACGGGCCCCCTCCCCTGCTGCTTAAGGGGGAAGGGGGGCTGCGATTTTCAATTTTTCGGGGGCAAACAAAAAATTAGGAATGAAGTAAGCCAATCTTTTCCATCCATACCGGTAATTAATTATGACTTGTGAATATTTTACAAGTATTTCCCATTTTAAGGATATGTTGTTTATAAACAGATAATGAGAGAAGCTTTTCGGGTCAAGATTTAGACTTTTTGCCTGGAAAGCACGAGACTGATCTTAGCCCTTCGATTTTTCTTAGGGTACGTGAAAACTTTGAAGGTCACATCTGGCAATAGTTCTAAGAGAAGGTTGAGAGATAGTTTGTGAGGTGACTCACTATTATATAGGCCCTATGTCAGTTTTGATAAGTGCCCCTTCCCCTTCTCATTAGTGCCCCATTTTCCCTTTTGACAATTGCCATATTCGAGTTTGATAGGGACCCCCTTTTAATTAGACAAAGTGCTTCTTCCCCCTTCTCATAAGTGCCCCTATTCAAATCTGGTAACTGCCTTTTTCAATTAATTTTAACACGTGCCCCTTTTCCTTTCTAAGTGGACTTTTCCCATTTTTTCTTTCTATTAAGTTTCAATTCAGAATATATGCCAACTAGTGGGAACATTAAATGTTAATGCGGAGGCTTCAAATTCAATATGACAGAAATACATGAAAACGATCATTCTTTCTCATTTTATACAAAAACAATAATTTATTCAACCTTTTCTTGCATCATTTCATTCTTTTTTACAGTCATACGAAATGTGCCTCTGGCAATATATACAAACATTTAACAAGCCAAGAGCCTGCAATGTGTAGACTCATCTTGGCATAAGAGTTGTAGATCGACTGACGAAGAATGGAAGAAAGGGAATATTTATGTTTTACCAGCTTAATTAGAAACATGTGAATAAAACGTTAGGCCAAGACAATAAAAAATAGACTGAATCAGTATACCGTTGATACAGCATACTAGTTTTCAATTGCACAACACATACCTGAGCATTAAACCTGCTCAGCTCACATAGAAATAAGGGTAGGTGTGCATGTGTTACAATATTACAATGGTAGTCACTGGTGTACTGATGGGGGGGGGGGGCAGTTGCCCCCTAAATAAAAGTCAAACATGGTTTAATTCTAATTCAATAGATTAAATGTTGCTGAAACTACATGGTTTTTTTCTGCCCCCCCCCCCCCCACCCAATTTTGTTTTGTTTTGCTCATTATGCCACTGACGGTAGTAAAAGTCTAGTACAAGTGTGGCACCTCAAACATCTAAGTGTTATGATTAGCCTCTTTTAAAGGGAGAGGGTCTTCAGTTTCCATGTGCAGAAGGCCTATCAAAAAATATCCTGAATAGTCTCTCAGAGAGTCTTTGGGTGAAGATAATGACCATACCATATGGGGGGAAGCGAAGCATTACATTTGTATTATAGATTGACAACACCTGTTATTAGGTAAATACCCAAACTGTGTCAAATCCCCCATGAGAGTCCACTTCTACATGTCTTTAACACTCTAGAAATCATGTTTCTTATATTAGAAAGAAACAAGTACATGTACATTATGTCTTAAATTATAGGTACATAACGCCATCTTTCATGAGGTTCATCTTTACAGTCCATCCTTAGCGATGGAAAATTGTGGTTGTGATGGCAATTTTGCACTTGTAAAGTATTAACAATTTCAAGTGCTGTACCATATTATTTTTATTCTAAATTACAACAAAATCTGTGGACCATATTCTTTCCTTTTATGACTTTAACTGTTTAATCCATGGTAACCCTTTGGTCTTTGTAACAATCATTTCCATGGTCCTAGTTTAATTCTAATGAAGCAAAACCATACTTTACAACTATTACACCAGATCTGTCCTGATAATAATTATAATAGCTCGTTCTTATATAGCGCTTTTCAGGACCGGAGGCCCTCACAAAGCGCTTTACAGATAAGTATATTATTACCCCGGTCATTGGATTCAGGCTTACCCGCACACAATGTATGCACATTCTCCACTCCCTGGGGAGCATTCCAGCCAGGCGTCATTTTTACATGCGCACACTTGCTATGAATAAAAGGTACACAGCTGAATAATTATAAAGAGCTGAAACCAGCAAATTAAATAATTTTGTTATAACAGAAACCTCATTATATCAATGCTCTTTATACTGAGGCTACAATGTATTAGAAATAAATAAGTACATGTAGATTGTGTATCATAACATTTCAATGTTAAGGCACTTATAGGTACATAACGCCATCTCTCATCAAAGGTTCATTTTTATTGTCCATCCCTTTAGCAATGGAAACTTGTGGTTTTGATGGAAATTTGGAAAACTTGCACCTGTTAAATATGAATAGTTTCAAGTGCTTTACAGTATTATCGTTATCCAAATTCAACAAAGTCACTGTAAAGTATGACTTCGGCTCTTTATTCCATCCAAATTCTTTGGCCGCTACGTTATTGATTTTAGTTTGATGCTTTCAAAGCACAACCATAATTTTCAGATATTAAGGCAGTTGTGCCCCAATATGAATAAAAGGTATAGCTAACTAATTACATTATTATGTTTATTATTATTATACATTGTATAACGTTTGTTGATTGTTTTACCTGACTGCTAAGAAAGCATGTATATGCTTGTACATGTAAGTTAGCAACCAGGGGACCGACGGCTTTAAGTTCGCACAGAAGGACTTGGTAATGAGGATTGAAGCCTTACTTAAGAGCATGAGCTCAATGACTTGGTTTTGAACCCGGGACCTCCTGGTTACGAGACCACTGGTCTACCACTGAGCCATCGCACCTCCTGTACTTTTCCTCAAGTTCAGAGTTGTAAACAAGATTCCTGGACTCAGCTTTACAGGAGGTCCATGAAACAACATGCAACCCACATGGCTCCGTCTAAAGTATTCAAATACTTTCTTCTGCGAGAAGTACCAGAGTTCTTCCATATTTTGAACAAGAGCTACAGAACAGAAATCAAAGATCCGTTGATTGTAAATCTGTCATTTTTTCAATGCTTTTGTCAGACTTCACTGTCTCTCTGACATGAAACTGAAAAATCCTCCTCAAACTTTTGCATCAAATTTTGCATCACCTCTGTCCAAGAAAATCAAGACTTTTCCATATCTGCAAGCATTCTGAAAACAGCAAAATATAGTAGGGCTTTTTTTAGACTTCACTATCTCTCTGACATGCAACTGAAAATTCAAACAGAATTCGTATCACCTCTAATTTACTTATTTTCTAGATCTTTAAATCCCTTGAAAAATCCCTTGCAAAATACAGAGGGTCTTTTAATCCCACATTTCAAGGTTTTCATTTGTCTACGATGCCAAGTTCCTTGATCTTGTTCAGGAAGAAGCGTTCCAGGGTGTTTGCACAGCGAACGTATTCTGTGTCTGCTGCATTGTATGCTCTGCAGTTGCTAAAGACCCGTTGCATGTCGGCGATGAAGAGCTTCCGAGAGCTGTAATACTTTCCTTTGAAGCGCTCGGTCATTGTCTTCAAATCTGAAAGTAAGAAAGAAGAAACACAGAGTTTACGGGATCCGGTAACTTTGTCTTAGATTCTTTTAAAAAATCCTTGATTTAGCTCATGCTGCAATGGTAATAATAAACCTTTAGGTCAGTCAGGAACCCCATGACTTTTACAAGCTGGTCGTCTGTCTGATTATCAAGATATTTATGATTGAAAATCGAAATCAAATTTTGTGTTTGCCAAATGGTTTTCATAACACTACAGTCTATTGGGGGAAACGAGTATGGTAAAACTGGTCACTCAACAGTTTTTAGTTTTTTGAGGCACTTCTTGATCATTTTGAAGCACAATTTTTTTAGAGCTTCAATATAACAACATATCACAGACACCGATAACATGTAGGGCCGTGCATCTCAGATTTAACATTGTTAAACGATCCCTTTAAACTTGTGTATACCAATATGATTAGAATAGCAGTCTACCAAGTCTTGTGAATGTGTGGACATGAACTTACACAAAATAATTACATGATGTTACAGATTCGTGTTAACATTTTTGACCTGACAGCTGAAAAAATAACAAATTTTCAGTATTGCGAACAAAAAAAAAAGAAGAAAGTTACATAAAGTTGGAAAACAATAGAACACAAAGAAAATTAAATCAAATGATATTTAATGAATTTCTGTTATTCTAATATTTTTTTAACACAATTAATAAAGGAAAGCAAATCAAGATAACATCTACTAGGAGAAAGATGGGCGCAAATCGAAAAATCTTCTATGGAACATCTCAACTCACCCATAGGATACTTGATGTGCTCATAGTAGTCTGGTGCTTCGTTCTTTTCTACTGGTTTCAAGAAAGGCCACGCACTGTTGTGATTCTGTGACAAAAAACAATAGTATAAGCAACAATTATTACCAAATAACAAACACTTCATATTTAAAGGTCAATCCAACCCTTGTAATAAGTTGATTTGAATGAAAGCAAAACAATAAGAGATAAAGAATGGCAAGAGTTTGAAATGAATCGTACCAATAGTAAGGAAGTTATGAATGTTTGAAATAAGAGATCACTAATCTATGCGAAACTCAAATTGGTAGTTTGGTCAGTGGATTGTGACATAGGACGTGGATAACTGTCCCAATAGCCGTGTACAAAAATATCCCAAGGGATAAGGAACTTACGAGACAAACAGAATTAGAACTTTCAAAAATGTATAACTTTCTTATACTTAGTCAGATTTAATTGAAACTTTCATCAGTTTGCTTCTCTTATTTTTCTGCTTTCTTTTAAATAGACTAGTTGTCTATTTGGGTAGGATTTCCTTTTAAGAATAAAACACAGTACAGGTATAGGCCTTTGGGGCTAGTAACAATGCACACACAAAGGGTTTATTTACATATGATGCAGTTAACAGCTGCGTTAAAAAAAAAAACATACATGTAAGTATAAATGAATAGCATCTGTGTGCAACAAAGGTCTTACACATATCCACTAGGCTCTGTGTTACAGTATAAGATCGAGACATGTGAACAATATTACACTTATGTCATCTTTTTTTAAAAATGCTGCGGTTTGCTGCATCGTAATCTGAACAAGACTAATGGATTAATCACAGTATTGGTTAGTAATGGACTGGATTTATTGATTTATTGAGCCATCTCTTAGGTCAAAACACCCTTTCCCTTGGTAACAACTAGTACATAGAATCAATAAAATCAATTAACTGAAATATGTTTAAAAATCTTTCTTACTTACATTTCATGCCGTAGTAGTATTTCACACCATCGTCAGCATTACTTATTCATTAATCAAGGTATTTATCCAAGTTATTCATCATTTTATCATATGAACATCATTCTTTAAACCTCTTGTAAATCAATTACATGGGATGGATAGATAAAAATTGCTCACTAACCTTTACAGCGGTCAAGACGGTCTTGAATGCAGACTGGACCTGTTCCTCGTTCAGTGGAGTGACCTTTGGTTTCTCTCTGACCGGTCTCCATCCAGCATCCACTGAATAAGCACAGAAAATAACAATGTTGCATTTATGTAGGGTAAGAAAGAATCATGTGATTTAAAGGATAAACTTGAGTTCTGCTAAAAAAATTAATGAATTCTCACAGAATCAAATGAAACGTACACTGAATGTTCAAGATTACAAGTACATGTCATTTGCTAAATAATTTTAGTAGAAAATGTATACTGGCTGAGTAATGAGCATAGAAAGATAAGGAAATCAAGTTAAGTAGGCCCAACACCATGTGTGTTGTCCCATATATAGCTTTCTGTGTACAATGCTTGTTACTTTACCAAGAATCGACCAAATTTATTATGATTTTGATGACTCCAGAGCCAGTACACACTAATACTTACATGCTACATGATCAACTTTTTCTGTTCCGTTCTACACATTTTCTTTCACAATGCAATCGCATGACCAGAACTCAACTTTGTCTTTAATGCAAGCTCCTTATTCTTACAAGGACATTCTACTGATAACGCATGTAACCATATATCCATGATATATTTACCTGTGCATAAACAAGAAAAACAAGCCAAGCATTAATTGTTTTGAAAGGATGCTTTCGACTTTGTTTTAAAAAAAAAACAAACAAGTTATTGTAAATCGAAAAGGCAAGTTATCATTTCACAATAGAAAAAATTAATTGTGTACTACTATTTTTTGGTTTTTGATTAGTTTTACTTTTCAATGTAATTATGTTGACCTGATGACCTTTTTATTATACTTTATAAACAGATGTTTCAAGCTATTGATTTATATATATATATATATATATGCATCAATTATGCAAAATATGTATTGTGCCCTTCCATGAAATCTGTTTTGTGAATGGAAAAAGTATTAATAAAACATCATTGAAATAAAAATTAAAAAATACATGAAACCATATATGATGGTAGAAATACAATCCACTTCTATGTACACCCACAAGACAAAGAACATGTACAGTGTACATGCATGTACCTTGGAGTTCAGTTATGTATGATTTAGGTTGAAGAAAGAAAATGATGGAATGAATCTATAATTTAAGTACAATCTTACTTTATTAATACACACATATAGATGGTTACCAAAACAGCTTGTATAACTTGCCCATACATATAACTAAGATCAGAATATGAACGGACTGAATGCATTCTTTGAACAAATGTAGGAGATAAAATTAATATTTTCTTAGAGCGGGGACATTTTAGTTGCCACGAGTAACTTGGCTCGCATGTGTGTAGTAGCATTACTTCCCTATACAAGGAATGCTCTCCATCAGTTTTGGGCTCACACCCTCCTAAAAGCATATTGGTCTAGGGTAGTCTGGAATTACTGGATAGACTTGTTTCTACTCACAATCTTATCACGCAGAGATTACTTACTCTACTTCAGATATGATGATCTTTCCTATGTGACATACATTTCATTATGCCTAAAAATAAAGATGTTGTATTGCCTTTTGCGACTAACCCCCCCCCCCCCCCCCCCAAAAAAAAAAAATGTAACTGTTTTTTAGAGAAAAAATTGTATGAAAGCATTCAAAACTGAGAAATATCAGCCCAAAGAGGGAGTTAACAACAATAAAAAGTTTTTTTTAAAGATTTTCGACCGACCGACCTATGTTTTGGCACCTAAAGGGCAATACAACATCTTTTTTTGTTTAGGCCTTAGAGATAATCAACTGTGTACTTACCTAGACCAGGAATACTCTCCATCGGTATCTGCCTGACGCCTTCTTTGAAGCATGTCAGGCCAGGATAGACACTTCTCTCTTCATGCTGCTTCATCTCAATCAGCTTCTTCACAATCTAATTTAAGACACACAGGAAATCATTGTTATAATGTTTGATTTGTTTTCCAGCGCATATTGCATTATGGTCTAACATCTGAAGTACTTTGGAAATGATTACCATAAGCTTAGCCCAGGAGACCCTTACAGGCTCAAATTGTATTTCACAGAATGAACAGTACAGGTGTTGCTGTCCAGTGGACAAGTCTCCAGACTGTAAAACACAAGGTACAGGGTTCAAATCCCTGACAAACCATTCACGTCCTTTGCCACACTCGACCCAGGTGTAGAAAGTGGGTACCTCATAGGATTTATTCCTTGAATGCATCGAGTGCTACAGTTGCTGGAGCTAAAGATGGGGTATGTCATTTGGAAAAAGTGCATACAGACGTTATATCATAATGTAAAGTGCGCTATACAAGAATAAAATATATTTACTATCATTGTTATTATAGTTAAAGTAATAGTCTCATTTGCAGATTAATGTCTTACAAAAGGATAAAAGCAGTGCTGGATCAATTCCTCTCCACTATGACACCTTTACATCAAGTTCATATAAACACAGTCAAAATGACCACACACAACAATTGCCACTTGATTTAATGCCACATATACATCATCATCATCATGTAGAGAGAAAAAAATGAACAAAAATGATCATAATAATAATAGATCGTCCTTATATAGCGCATTTCAGGACCGCAGGCCCTCTCAATGTGCTTTACAGATACATGTTATTACCCCATGCTTACTCGCACACAATGTATGCATATTCTCCACTCCCTGGGGAGCATTCCAGCCAGTCGTCATTTTACAAGCGCCACTTGCTAATCTAACCACATTAAGTTTCGCATCCTACTGGGTATCCATTTAACACCTGGGTACACCTATTAAGATGTCCACTCCTAATCGAATAATGCTGCCTGGAAGACCTGGTGGCAGCAAATGAGAAGGCTCTCCAGTGTGCCAAGGCCTGGCAAAGCATTTGAGGACACGAAAGAAGAATATAAAGTGTATATATCCTTTTCTTGAACATGATATTATTTATTTTTGGTGCTTGATAAATCTTTATAGATATTTATCACAACTATGAAATTTTAGATGGTTACCATTTCGTGTTTTCAGTTATGAGTTATGATCAATCGGTGGGTGGTACATGTACGACATTACTTATTATAGGCTCTGTATAAGCTTGGCTTGTTAGAACTCTTGTGAGTAATGTGCCGCGGGATTCCATATCCTTAAACTGCTGGCGAACAGAGCAACAAGACCAAGCTCTGTAATTATTAGGATCTCTGTCCAGTATAGTGCCGTGTTTGTGCCATCGAACTGGATCGACCAAATCAATTGATTCACAATATATGTATATGCAGTATTTTTTCCCGTAACATGAGAGTAATTTTAATAGTTTCATACTATTAATTAAATGTATTGTTAACTGTAACTGTATAATTGTTTTAAATGGGGGCACGCTACAAGAGTCCTATCTTGCACCCCGGGGCAACGTGTCTGACACGGCCGGTTGTAGCAGCTACTCCGAAGATCAAGATTACAGTAATCTTGATCTAAGGAGACACGAACGAACGAACCTGGGTAGAGAGTGGCAAATGTCAAGCCAAAGGACATTAGTGCCGCGGTGAGACTTGAACCGCGGATCTTATGATTCACGGCACCTCTACTCTATCATACACTCCCTACTTAGCGATTAAAGTCTAAATCCATTCCAAGGACATTCTGATTTCTTTCTCAACATTTCAGAAATGTAATTGTACCTTTTTTTGTCTGTGTATGATGAGCGAGAACTCAATGTGGGGTAAACATACCTTTTTCTGTCTGTGTATGATGAGAGAGAACTCAGTGTGCGGTATACGTGGGTTGAGCTGACAGCCCATGAGTGTAGCGCCCTCATAGTCCTTGATATAACCAGCATAACTGGACTTGGGCATCTTGATGTCTTTTGAGAAACCCTGCAGGGAAAAAATGAGGAGAAAAGTTAAATGAGAGACAATTGACAAGACAGGACAAGATAATGTATGCTGAGAGACAGAAGGCCATTGATAACTCATATCATTACACACATAGTAAACTTCCTTCTTGCTCTCAGCAAATAATATAGTGAAAGAAATAAGAAAATGGAAAGGAGACCATATCATAACAGGGAAAAAAGGCAGAAAAAGAAAGAGAAGGGGAGAGACAGACAGACGGAGAAAGAAAGAGAGAGGCAGTGAAAGACAGACAGGGAAAGACAGACAGACAGACATAGAAAGAGAGAGAGAGAGACAGTGAAAGAGAGACAGAGAAAGAGAGAGAGGGACAGTGAAAGAGATATAGAGAAAGAGAGAGAGAGGGGGAGAGAGAGATTTGGTAGGGCAAAGAAAACAGAATACATAACTATGACTGATATACAAAGAAAAATAGAGGAGAGAAGAAAGTTAGAAAATGAAATATCAAGATACAGTAAAGTCAGAGCAACAAAGAGGAGAGAGAGAGAGAGAGAGGGGGGAGAGAGAGAGTGTGTGTGTGTTTTTTTTTTTTTTGGGGGGGGGGGGGGGGTGGGTATAAAGCAGACAAAATGAATTGTGATAAACACGAAAATACATGAGCACTGCTCTACCAGTGAGCCAGCAGGCCTCCTCAATTAATGTGCTTATTCAATACTTACCTGTTTCTTGAAGTATCCGATGGCAAACTCATCAGCGAATGTTAGGAAATGAAGAACACCATGCTTGACATGATAATCCTTGAGATGATTCATTAGATGGGTACCATAACCCTGGAAAAAATGATTAAGATAATAATAATAATATAATGATATTTAGCTTTTATATAGCGCTTAATACAAATGTCTCTAAGCGCTTTACAAATGTACTATTACTGTGTGCACAATCTCCACTCCCTGGGTAGCATTCCAGCCAGGTGTTACTTGAAGCTCAAAAACTGTTTGACCAACAATGACAGTGATAGGCAAAGATACTATTAATTTAACTTGATATAAAAGAGGCCTAGACATACTGGAACCCCGACATTATTTGCATTAGTGGTAATGTTTGTGGTCATGATAGTAGCAAAAGAAGCCAGAGTTCTAAATGACTGTAATAGGGAATTGACTGATCAGTGTTAAACAAGAAGATTAAATAGCCTGAAACACAGTTAACAGGGAAAAAAAATCAGGCATTCCTGAAACATTGTAAGAACAATGATGTATTAAAGAGTTTTGAATGGATATCTTGATGTATGCTATAGCCGTATTTAATTGAACACACACTGCACAAGATTGGAGCCAATTTGGTATTGTGCCAATAACCATATATTCATTACATTTTACTGTTAACACAAATTTCATGACAAAAGCCCCAGACAAAAATTTGACTCACAATAGCACTTTGCCAAGTGAAATCATCCTTTACTATTTAGACGTACCTTGACTTGCTCATTAGAAGTGACGGCACAGAAGACAATCTCTGTGAATCCTTGGGTTGGAAACATTCTGAAACAGACTCCGCCTATTACTCTGTTCTCCTTCACTAATGCCAGTGTCTTGTGCTTTCTGGAAGAGTTATTGATAGAAGGTGTGTTTTATGGTTTCGTTTTCATCATCATCATTATCATCATCATCATCGTCATCATCACCATCACCACCACCACCACCACCATCATCACCACCACCTTCATCACCAACACTGTCATCATCATTGTCATCAATTCATCATCATCATTTTCATCATCATCACCACTATCAACATCACCACAGACCCATCTACTGAGCTGTGGCATGCTGAATGAAACATGCACTGGGAGGGAACTGTCAGAGACCAATGATGTGATTCTGACTTTTCCTAGATATTACTGGGAAGTAGTCGGGTGATGACTTGAAATAATGATGATAATGATGATCATTATCATCATCATTATCAACATCATCATAATCATTATTATCAACATCTTCATTATCATCAACGTCTTTGTTATCATCATCACCACCTCCACCATCACCACTACCACTAATATCATCATCATACCCACCTACTTCCATCCCAACAACAAAATCATCATTATCATCACTACAACCACCACTAGATGCAAACCACTACCATACCAGTCTACCAGGACAGCCACCTACACAACCATAACCACAACCACCACCACAACCATCATCTTGATTGGTAGACTTACGTATCAAATACTAGTCTGGTGATTGTATTCCTTGGGCATCCGATGAAGCTGGTGTAAGAAGACGTCATCATCATCAACATCATCCCCATCATCATCATCATCCCCATCATCATCATCATCATCATCATCCCCATCATCATCATCATCATCATCATCATCATCATCACCATCATCATCATCATCATCATCATCACAATCATCACTACCATCATCATCATCTACATCATCATCTACATCATCATCATCATCATCATCATCATTATCAACATTATCAACATCATCAACATCATCAACATCATCATCATCATCATCACCACCATCATCATCATCACCATGGACCACTACCAGACCTGCCATCATCTTGATTGGTAGACTTACGTATCGAATACGAGTCTGGTGATGTATTCCTTGGGCATTCTCGGTAGCTGATGTGAGAAGACATTCTGTAGACCCACCAACCATATGAGTGTTTGTCTTGAAGGTTTCCGTGTGACTGAATTACCGATGACATGGAACTCTATCACCCCTCTCCTCTCCTCGTTCCTTGCAGCCTCATCACGGGCAGAGTGAGCAGCAAACAGATTACCCTGGAAGAAATAAAGATAAATATTGAGGTGGTTGTGAAAAAATAAGATTGAATGAAACACAATGAATATGGTTTTATATTGTTTTACTTGTAATAATAATAATAAAAATAATGGTGGCTTCCTAAAAAACGAACATGTCTGTCGTAAAGTGACACCCCTGCCGTTCCAACATTACTATCAAAATTAGTATAAAAACAAATAATGCATGAGCAGATATGTACATGTATGTTTAGATGGTTTCTAATGGATTGTAGTGCATATATCTGTCCCCACACTGGGGTTATCGCCAGGATCCCTCCTTACACAGCACATACAGAGGTACAAAGAAATCTCAAACAGCTGTCTGTAGGCTTCATACATGTTAGTCTTACAATTGAATGGTCTTTTGGGCCGAGGATATAATTGTATTCCTATCATTTCTTCTTTATTCCAATTGTGAAGAAAAAATTGGGGAAATCAAAGCATCTTGAAATGTCCAATTTCTTGCTAATCATTAACTAAACTTTTAAAAATCTTAACAAAAGGTTTAATGGTCCCAAACATACCTCTGGGCCTACCATGGCAGCAGGGTCTGTAACGGTTGATAGCACCTCACCTAGAATATTATCTGGAATATCCTCTATAGGGGTGGTAGAATGGTGAAAAGAATACTTTTTCAAGGTAACAAAAAATAGTAACATGATAAACAAAGTTTGAAGTTATCTAGTAATAATGTCATTGGCAAAACCAGGTATGCACCTTGAAGGTACCATTTAAATGTCTAAATGCATAATGTAAAATCAGGCTAAAAGAGGATTGGAGTCACAATTATATATGGTGGGAAAAGAACTTTTGATTTCTTAGTTTTAACCATTTAGTTATGATGATATATGAGATTTTTAAATTTATATGCATAGCTGCAGAAAAAGAATTCTCATTTTGTTTTACAGGAAATGATTATTAATTAATGTTGATCATTTGTCATTTATACAGTTTTATAATTGTTTAATGTTTTCCACTCTAAGGCAAAATATAAAGAATGCAACTTTTGTCATGAGCATTACAAAATTACAAATAATACCTTAAATTTCCATTTTTAATAATGTTTAATCATTGTATACCCTCTAGTCGCTGCCTCTTGATTTCTTCCTCAGTCGGTAATTCATCAATTTTACGTTTATCAGTGGCTGAAAAACAAAACATTATTTGAAAAAGTGTGTGATGGTCACAGGTTTACAAGAAGTTACAATTTACCAATTACCATAATTGAGGGGGAACGTTTTTAATAGAGTGAAGGAAAGCTTAGAGTAATTTGCTTTTAAAGAAGTACTCTCAAAACAAAAACAAACAATTTTTTTTAATTCTGCCCCTTTTCTGCAAGGGACACGTCTTTCTATCAAGAAATCTCTCATTATTCTCAGAACTTAGTCTGCAATATACAAACATTAACAGGTTTGGGTATCTTTGTCTCAGATTCTGAAACAAAATCCTGGATTTAGCTCATGCTGCAATCATAATTAGAAACCTTTAGGTCAGTCAGGAACCCCATGACTTTTACAAGCCGATTATCAAGATATTTATGATTGGAAATCAAAATCAAATTCTGCATTTTCCTAACGGTTTTTATAAAAGTACAGTCTATTGGGGAAACTGAGTATGATAAAACCGGTCATTCAAAGATTTTTTTGAGGCACTTCATGATCATTTTGAAGCGCAAGATTTTAGGGCTTCAATATTACACCATATTACAGACACTGATAACATGTAGGACCATGCATCTTAGATTTAACATTGTTAAACGATGCCTTTAAAGCTTTTAAAAAAGAAAATCAATTCCACTTTTCCTTTCCACCTATCCTTTATATCCCTACCTTGAGTGGCAGCGAGAGCACTTAATCTTGCAGCTCTTCTCACGTTCACCAACCCTGGACTGAGGTTAAAGGTCGTATGCCCATCTGCCAAAGAGGGCACTCCTGTCGTGGTCGTCACGGTGATCCGACCAAGCGCTTGGGCAGAGGGGTCCAATGGATCCTCCAGCTCGGTGTTCTCGTCCGGTGAGGCCATTGGTACTGCTTCCTGGACTGGGGTAAACTCAGGGTCCCAGATAGGTGAACTACTGTTGAATGCTTCCTCCTCTAGCATTGCTAGGAATCTTGAGGGAAAAAAGGGATTTACAGACATTTTGTTTAGAAAATTATTTTTTAAGATGTTCCAATTGATAAGTGAACTACTGTTGTATGCTTCCTCCTCTTACATCGATAAGAATCTTGAAAGAAAGGGATTTACAGAAATTTTCATTAGAGACTGAATTTTAAAGCTGTTCCAATTGTATGCCTCTTCCTCTAACATCGATAAGAATCTGGAGGAAAAAAAGGGATTTTACAGAAATTTTCTTCAGCAAATAATTGTAAAGATGTTCCAATTTAATTTTATTTATTAATTTATTTCATTTCCAGGCATAATAACAATACATAGAAAACATCACAGGGTTGACACAATTATATAACATTAACAGTATCATATTTAGCACCAGCCAATGCCTGGGGATCACCCTAAAAGAATTTAAAAATTGTGTTGAGAGGCTCTCCACATCGGCTGGTGCATACATAAAACAAATATAAAGATAAGGTAAACACATACATGACTGCAAAACTAAATTAACCCTCATATTAGGTACATGTGAGGGAGATCAGAAGCAAGTCATACAATAATATCATGCATTAAACATAGTCTGTTTAGACTAAATTTGGTATATGATACACAAATAGCAAAACTGATTTCATAATGAATGATCAAACTATCTGCATAATTTTGTATTTTGTTATTGCAATTGTTTATACCATGTATTTTTTTCCCTTTACTGGGAACTACGCCATACAAGTTTTTATAAACTTTGTTGTAGTTTCCGTTTTTTCTCTTACTATGTATATTTGCCATTTTTTGTATATATTATTATATTGTTTTTATGCTTGAGAAAAATTAATAAACTGAACTGAACTGAACTGAACTATTTCATAACACTAAGAAATAATATACAATTTTGCACCAAAACTTGTTAATGATGGCAAAAAGAATAATATGGCATATTCAATTTTCATATTAAAGCCAAAATGGCAATGTGAGAATAGTTTTTTCTCTTTTTAAAGGTACTATGTCCCTTTTGCAGCTAACCTCAAATGCAAAGAGACACCTATTCAGGTCAGACAGCTAGCGTACACGCACCGATACCTCTCATGAATGAATTGTTTTGATAACAACACCATCACCATTCTTTGCTAACAAGAGCATGAAATCAGACCAAAACTTGTCTCTTTGTCGGTGACTTTAATATTATATAGAACGCAATGGACTTGGCCTTGTAAAGAGCCTGATGTCTAAATTGCACTAGTTAGTATGAAAACATCAGAATTGTGGAGCAGTTGCACATCTGCATACCCATGACAATCAACACTTTTAGAGTGGTGAAGTGTAACGTCATCAAAAATCTATTTTGAGAATTTCTCAATTTTTTCTTCATTTTACGAAAGAGCATAAAAATAATGTCTGAATGTCGAAAAAACCAATTGAATATATTAAGTATTGGCTGAGATAAGACCATCTGAATAAATAGATTTCCTATAGGAACTCAATGTTATATTGCTCTGGTTCATAACATTACGAGCCAGAGCACAAATGGTCAGATGGTCATATCTCAGCCAATCCTTAGCCAATACTTAACCTATTCAATTGGTTTTCGACATTTGGTCATTATTTTTGATGCTCATTTGGAAAATGAAGAAAAAAATTGATAAATTCTAAAAATAGATTTTTGATGACGTCACACTTCACCCCTCTATTGCAGCAGTCGTACATCTGCATACACATGACAATCAATACTCATAGATCCAAACAGGAAGTACATAAAGCTTGTATTCTCTAGAAAAAGGGATAAGGCATAATGAAGTAATATATTTTGCATTAAGTACATAGTTACTGAGTCAACAGGATGTCATATGAATACATATTTATACAGAGAAAGACAGATGTAGAAATGAGTGGAAAAACAGGAGAGACAGACAAATATAAGAGCAAGTTACTGAGAAAAAGAATGAGGAAATAGAGAAAAACAAACTATTAAAGGTACTATGTCCCTTTTGCAGCCAACCTCAAATTCTGTAGAACTTTGCAGGAATTATGAATATGTCATGTATGTCCTATCTGTGAAATTTAAACGTTAGCAGTGTCCTCATATTCAAATTATGCAAGGAAACCCGTTTACTTGCTAGACTTCACTGTCAGACACTATTGAGTGACTGACTGGCTTTTTTTCTTCTTTGGTAATAACATACATGAAAAGAGTTGTAAAGGGTACATGAGCATTTGTCTACATCAATAACCCACTTCTTGTGATGGCCAAGATTAAACTGATTGAATCTTTGCGCAGCATAAAACGTACAACCATTCGGTACAATTGTCTGAAAATCAATACTATTACTTTTGGGCTCTATAGCCCTAAAGTCGATTTGACAACTAATAGTCGGTATTTTCCCACTTGAAGACATTTTCAAGCCCTACCTTTTTTAGGGAAGTTCTAAATTAGTATTATCTTTCAAATGCAGTTGGAATTTAACTTTTTCATTTTTTGGGCCTGCAAATGGGACATAGTACCTTTAAGGCAGTCATGTCAAATACTGTACACATCTTTTTCAAATTAGAGGGGAATTGAAACCAAACTGCTCATTTGACATCATACTTGAAAGTTACAGTTACATATTTGCAGACGTCAGATAGAGGTTGGTGTTTCAATGTGCTTGATTTTTTTCATACAAGACTGCTTTTTGTGGATATTTAGTTGTAGGTTATTAGGTCTATACTAACTGCTACATGGTAATATCTAAAGTTCTTGAGAAACTTGTTTTTACAAGAACAACCACGTTTTTTAAAAAATACAATATTTTCTCACACTTCCAATTTGGTTTCCGTGAAAATCATAGCACCTCGCATGCAATTTTGTCTTTTATGAAAACAGTTACCACTTCCATTGATAAAGGTTTGCATACTGTAGGTATATTCCTGGACTTCTCCAAGGCCTTCGACACTATAAACCATGAAATTCTTCTTCACAAACTTTCTCACTATGGTATTAGAGGGAAGGCCTTGGAGTGGTTCAGGAGTTACCTTACAGATAGGACTCAATTTGTATCGGTTAACAACTGTAATTCTTCTACACTTCCTATTACCTGTGGTGTACCGCAGGGTAGCCTACTCGGCCCCCTTCTTTTTATTACCTATATTAATGACATTCAAAAATCTTCAAATTTATTATCATTTATACTTTTTGCAGATGACTCCAACATTTTCTTTTCTCATGAGAATGCGAACCAACTACTTAGAACTGTAAACTCTGAACTAAAAAATGTAACTGACTGGATCAAGGCTAATAAACTATCACTTAATCTGCAGAAGACCAATTACATGCTATTTAGCAACAAAATCAATAGTTTGCCAGGTGAAATTATTTTTGATAACGCTGCTCTTGTTAATGTTTCTACAACCAAATTCTTGGGAGTGTTTATTGATGAAAAATTATCATGGAAAACTCACATCGATAATATATGCAAAACCATTTCACGAAACATCGGTATTATCAATAAACTCAAATACTTTCTTCCTTCTCGAACTCTTCTTACATTATATCATACCTTAATATTACCATACATTAATTATGGGATTATAGCATGGGGATGTGCAATACAAACACAATTAAATAGGATCCTACTGCTGCAGAAAAAAGCACTCAGGATAATATTTCAAACACAATTCAGATCTCATACAGATATTTTATTTTTCGAAAATAATATTCTCAAAGTGAAAGATATCTATGTGTTCCAACTCGGCCAATTTATGTTCAAACTAAGTAAAGACGACCTCCCCGCAATTTTTTCCGATATGTTCTGCAAAAATGCCTCTGTACACAATTACCCGACTAGACAACGGAACTGTTATCACTTACCCTTAACACGAACATTATTTGCACAGAATTCATTTGTCTTCGCTGGATGTGCCTATTGGAATTCTCTTCCCAACGATATAAAAGAAGCCCCTAGTCTTAGCAATTTTAAACGTAAACTTAGGAAAACATTAATCAGCCAATACTCCCCACCAATAAGCCAAGCTCAAAAATCTAAACCTACGGAAAGATAAAACAAATCTTTCCTTTTGTTATTCCTCCTTTCCTCCTTTTTTGTTTCTTTTTTAAGAATAATCTAAACAAGCCTAACGACCTGGTGGTGTACCTGCCTCCTGTCCCCATCTCCTTCTTCCTGCCTTTCTCTCGCTCTCTATTTCTCTCTTGCTCTCTCCCCTTTCTCTCTCTCTCTCTCTCTGTTACTATATTTATCTTACTTTTATTTTTACTTTTACTTTTTCTTTTTTTTTGTATTCCCTTTTAGTGTGTTTTACTGGTATTAGCTTTCGACCATAATTATTTAAGCGTATCCATGTAACTAAGTCAGGGGCTTGCCTCATACAAGCTCTGCTTTTTTAGCAAGCCCCTCCGTTTTGAATTACTTCATCAAGGTCATTTTTTTTTTCTATTGTTCAGTACTGTTTTTTCCCAATATTTCTTATCAACTAAATTTTGTTCTACATAATACTGAATTTACTTTGTTTATATTATATTTGACTGTATTATATTATGTCTGTTTATATTTTGTTTGTTTTGAAACGGAAATAAAATCTGAATCTGAATCTGAATATAACATAAATTTGATCTAAACCTATACAACATATTTCCAATGAAATCAGGAAAAGGACACAAAGCACATCTTTCTTGTTCATGGAAAATATTGCCTACCTTTAAAGGGATTGGGTAACTTTGTCTCAGATTCTAAACAAAATCCTTGATTTAGCTCATGCTGCAATGATAATTATAAACATTTAGGTCAGTCAGGAACCCCATATTTTTTACAAGTCGATCGCCTGTCTGATTATCAAGACAGTTATGATAGGAATTAGAAATCAGATTCTGTTTTCCTAATGTTTTTTTATAACACTTCAGTCTCTAGGGGAAAATGAGTATGGTATAACCAGTCACTCAAAGATTTTAACTTATTTGAGGCACTTCATGATCATTTTGAAGCGCAATTTTTGTTAGGGCTTCAATATATCACCATATCACAAACGCTGATAATATAAAGGGCCGTTCATCTCAGATTTAAATTGTTAAACGATGCCTTTAAAGAGGAGGCCATGATCTTACCTTGGAAAGTGAGTCAGCACCAGATTGCGTTTCTCAGCAGGCATGTTGTCTTTCTCTGATCGTAGCATGTCTAAGACCTGCCGCTTCATCGCAGGGAACACCGTCTTCAAGAGAGTCCGACCGAAGATATCCGTTGGTTCATGATGCTGTAGACTGTCGCAGAAAGATGGCACATGGCAGTAGCACAGCCATCTGTAGGAAGAAAAAGAAAATATTTGGGAAATCAAATGATGGAATGATGATATATGACACGATTGTGTGTATGGGAAAAGTGCTATTGTTTTACAGACATTTACTAACACTCACCATCAACCCTGGAGATGACATAAATCCCAATCATATACCTGACCAAACCCCAAACCTAAGCTAAACATAAGCTAAACTTAACCTAAAGTTAACCTAAACTTAACCATAACCCTAAGCATAAACCCTGACCCAACCCCAAAACCTAACCTAAACCTCAGCTAAACCTAATCTAAACATAACCATAACCATAATCATAAACCCTGATCAAATTCCAAAACCTCACCTAAACCTCAGCTAATTCTAAGCTAAATCTAACCATAACGATATCCATACTCATAAACCCTGATCAAATCCCAAAACCTAACCTAAACCTCAGCTAATCCTAAGCTAAACCCATTCATTGGCACATGAATTGGAATTTATTTTGTTGCAGCAAAGAAAAGGAAAGCAGCCCTTGGCTTGTTGAGCTCACCTTGTGTAGGTGACCTTGTATGCACCTGCTTCATCCACCTGCGCTCTTTGCTTCCTGGCTGTGGGCGTCTCTAACTTCCAATGGTTCATACAGTGAAGAAACATCTTGGCAAGGTCGTACATCGTCATCCAATCCTTGTGGACCAGGTGACCAAACTTGAAGTGGACAAAGTTGGACACCCCCTGGGGAGAGAGAGAGGGGGGGAAGAGAGAGACAGAGAGAGAGAGAGATAGAGAGACAGAGATAGAGACAAAGACAGAGAGAGAGAGAGAGCAAGAGAGGGGGACACAGAGACACATAGAGAAACAGATAAAGAAAGAGAGAAAAATCAGAGGCCAAAATGATTGTAAACAATCACAACGCTAATCCTTGACCACAAAGACCCTTCCAGAAATGAATAGGCATAAGGGTTGAGCCACGGCATTTCACTATCATAGTGGGGTTTTTTTAATGTATTTCTCCCTAAGGCCTAAAAAAAAAGATGTTATGTTACCCTTTAGGTGCCCTGTAGGTCAGTCGGAAATCTTTCTTCTGTTTTTGTTTTTTTGTTTTACTACCTCTTTGAGCTGATATTTCTCTTTTTCTCTAAAAAAAACAGTGACAAAAACAAACAAAAAATTAAAAAGCTGACTTCAAGATTTCAAGATTTTTGGGTCAGATGCATAGGGCAATACAATTTTTATTTAGACCTAACATACCAAAGTGGCCCTGCAAATTAACACACAGATGACAAAATGCACTGAAGGGTGAAGGGGAGAAGCCATATGGTAAGACAAAGAAAATGACAGAAATAATAATAATATAATACTGCACATCTTTATAGTGTCTAATGGCGCTTTAGAGTGATCATCATGGAGAGAAAATTGGCATGATCACCTTCCAATGTAGACTCTGCAGTGTCTGGCTTACCTTAGCAATACTTGGTTTCTCAAACGGAGGGCGACCCAAAGGACCTTCTACGGACGGTGAACTCATCTGCAGGATGCACTTCCTCAGGAGCTGTTTACAAAACAGACGGACAAAAATGTTGATTTAAATCGGGACTGCACTACTTGTAGCTACTTGCGCTCTCTATACTCTCTCTCTAAAAAATTTGATTTATTAAAAAATGAATTTTCAGTCTATTTTCACTTTCTTGGGAGTGATGTCAGGGATCACTTGTTATGAGTGAATATCAATTGATTTTAGAGCGCTCTCTAAGAAGAAAGGAGTGAATGTTCACTCTATTTTCACTACATTTTCATCCTCCAGAGAGTATAGCAAACAATGCCTAAGCGGTACCTGTTGGTCCTCCATGATCCCCTTTTTCTTATGTTAATTAAGAGCTTATTTGATGAGATAACCACCTGTCAGTGATCATGCAGGGAGGTCTAATCCCTCCTGACTAAACTAGTGCAGACAGGCTTTAATTCATTTTACATTAGTGACATCAAACTTTTCTTTTTACTCTTATAAAAATGTAAGAAATGAAAGTAGAAACCACATTTACAGTCAAAACATTTGCTAACATTTGATCGACTTTTTAGTCCATTGTTATTCCTGGAATAGAGAAGAGAAGAGGCTAAAATTGAAAATGTGATATGCAGACATCAAACCATAAAGCCAATAAAGGTTATCAATTTAGTTCATTCCAATGAGTGAAATCTTGTGACATAACATTAATGGAATCGTTGTTGCTTTACTCTGCTTTTCAATCCCTACCAAAAGCACCTCCACTTGGACGCACATTAAGCATGTTACGCTGTTTGTCTTCTTTCAAATTAACCTTTTAAAGCCCCACTGCACTACTTGTACATGTAGCTACTTGCTCCCTCTATAAAGAAAACAACGCAAAGCGGTGCCCGTTGGTCCCCCATGATCCTCTTTTTCTTATGTTAATTGAGAGCTGAGTTGATGAGATAACCACCTGTCAGTGACCAGCAGGGTGGTCTAATCCCTCCCGGCCAAGGTACTATGTCCCATTTGCCGGCCCAAAAAATGAAAAGGTTAAATTCCAATGGCATTTGAAAAATAATACTAATTTAGAACTCCCCTTAAAAAAGGGGGGCTTGCAAACGTCTTTACAGTAAGTGGGAAAATAATGACTATTAGTTGCCAAATCGACTTAGGAGCTATAGAGCCAATAACTAATAGTCTTGATTATCAGACCATTGTACCGCATGGTCGTACGTTTTATGCTGCGCAAATATTCAATCAGTTTAATTTTGGCCATTACAAGAAGTAGGTTATTAATGTAGACAAATCCTTTACAACTCATTTTATTTATGTTATTACCAAAGAAGAAAAAAACCAGTCACTCAGGCAATACTGAAAATAGTGTCTGACAGTGAAGTCTAGCAAGTAAACGGGTTTCCTTGCATAATTTGAATATTAGGACACTGCTAACGTTTAAATTTCACAGATAGGACATACATGACATATTCATAATTTCTGCAAAGTTCTACAGAATTTGAGGTTGGCTGCAAAAGGGACGTAATATCTTTAAAACCTTTAAACATTTTTTGCTTAGCACTGCAGCCTTTGGAATACTTAGTCATACAGAATAATGGTGTAAACCTTACCTTGAATAGATGGAAGTAGACCTGCTTTGTGTCTGCATCCTCTTCCTTGTGAACGGACATGAAGAGGTGTTCGACGTCGACTACGATGCCCAGGAGTCTGTCGATCTCCTCCTCGGCAACGTCCTCCAGATGGGATACGTGCGCAGCTGTTTGACAGAAAAGAATCGTTCACATATGATTGCAAGACAATATGAGAATTACTTATATATATATATATATATATATTTAATAAAATATATTCATTTGTACAGCGCAATAACTATGTAGATATACTGCGCAGCAAGAGCTCGTAAATGTTGTGCTATACATACTACATGAACAATTGAGTTTTCAGTCTTGATTTAAAATTTTCTAGTGATGGGGCTTCCCTTATTTCTAGTGGTAATCTATTCCATAATCTACGGGCAGCACAAAGAAATGCCCAGTCTCCGAGGGTTACTATCGCACATAGATAATTGTGCTTTACTGTAGTGATGTTACTAAACCTGGATGTGGTTATAGGAAAGAATTCATTTCAAAATGTGAGTGAGAATGAGAAGATAAAACATCATTTCCTACAACATGGGGATATTGAGAATAATAATTGCGGGCACTTGCATTGCGTTCATGTCTGTTAGAATAGACACTCCTGGCCCTCCACATCATTAGTATTACCCATGCTTTAGCATGGCTGCCATTACGGCACTCTAACATTTCAAGGAATTAATTCCTGCCAGGTACTCATTTACCTCACCTGGGTCGAGTGTGGCAAATGTAGATTAATGTCCAGCCAAAGTATATTAGTGCTGCGATGGGACTGGAACTGTGAACCATGTGATCACAGTCCAGTGACTAACTTATTCATTAGACCATGACAACTCCACATTTAATGAAGATGAGGAAGATAATTCTTGACATGACTTTCCTCTAATTTCAAAAACATTTGAGGTTTACCAACTCACTTTGGCCGAACTTTTGACAGCATTTAGATATAATTATATGGGGCAATATTTCTGTTTGAAATCTACCAAAGGCACATTCAATTGATCCAAAGGTAATTATGGTATATACATGATATCTCTTCAAATGAGTTTTAAAATCATAAAACGTGATATTGCTCAGGAATGTCACAAAATAACTCTACAATGGATAGATCTGGAGGGCGTTTCACAAAACTTGTAATCAGTTTTTCTTATAAGCTACTGAAATCCTTGCTTCTGATTGGTTATCAGCAGATTTGTCACTAATTTTTGTCATTTGTCATTGAAAAAAGACTTTGTGAGTGGGGTCCCGGGGCTTCAGACATACCGAGTTGATGACCACAGCTCTTGCATGGGTCTGAACGGCTAGCCAATGGTGTGGTTACATCCAGTCTAGCAGGCTGTGTCGGGGTAGGAGGGGGGTTAGGGTTCTTCCAGCCATTGCACTTGCACGCTTCATCTGCCTGTATTAAAGAAAAAGAAAAAGAAACATTGCCATGAGAAAAGCCCAAATAACGAGTCTGATTTCTGACTGAACCTGAATTCTGACTCCTGAGAACAAACTATCTGTGGAGAAAATATGAGAAGATGATTGGTATAACTTCTCAAACTATCTACTGTTTGGCTGAGGATTTTATATAAATTGAGGTATCCCCACTTGATGACGTTGAGCAGATTTCTCCTGAAAATATCTCCTTTGGACTTTCTACGTTACAAGGAACCAAGGAACGGAAGTTAAACTTCTATTGTTTTTACTGTCTTGGACTTTATTAATGCTCTTGAAGTTTCATTTTGTATTTGTTTTCTTTTCCTCCCCCCCCCCCCCTCTCCTTAGTTTTCTTCTTCCTTTCTTCTTCTCATCTTCTACATCTGCAGCTCACAGAAATCAACCTAGTCAGAGAACACAGTCAAAACTGATTTGCTTCAATTACAATTTGTGCACATCATGATGTAGACCTAGATCTAGATCTAGAGTCGACTAGGCCTAGATCTATTTTAAAATAGACATGACAAAATTAAATGTTTGTTTCTTTCATTATTTCTTTCTCTCTCTAGAGTAGTGGCTCCGGTCTGCGGCCGATCGGCGGGAACTGCCGATTCTATTTTTATTGGAATACTCACAGAATACTTCAATACCCTCAATAAAGAGTCCATATACTTACTTATTAAATAGTAGTCACAAATAACATAACTGACCCACAGCGTGGTCAGCATTGACCACGTTTCGAAATGCTTCGAGTTCCCCGGTTTGCGGGCACGCAGTACCGGTTTGCGGCACGCGTACGTCACAAAGCTTAATGCGCTACGTCACGATGAAAGCATGTACCAAATTACTACGGGTAACCCAAATTCTCATGTTTATCTGTTGCTACGGTAAATTTGTCAAGTTTTAAACAATTTCACCTTTTCCTCGAATGGATCATCCCATACGGGGGTACGTACTACTAGAAACTATCGGGTCATAGCGGGTACACACATCAGCACACATACCATCATACACGATCCCGCATGTTATGTGTGTATTAACACCCCCCACCGCAAACCAGAAAAAACACGTAATTACGTGCCGGTTTGCGGCCACCCCATGCAACTGACCATGCGGTGGCACAATCAAAATATCTGCGATAGGAGACAGACCACAGCCATCATACTTCCACAAAAACATCAAATTTCACCTCCAATCGGACAAATATCGGACAAATAGAGCTACAATATTGATCTAGTCATGCCTCGATCTCTTAACTTAAAAGTTAGCACCTGCTGGAATTTTCATCGGCGACTGGTGCCGTAGATTTCCGACATCGCTGACGGATACTCCGTACCGACAGGAGCACCTGCTACGGACGTTTTCGGCAAAGCATAACTTACCGTGGAATCCACGGTAGGTTTCAATGATTATTATCGAGTCATATTCATTTTATTTTTAATTAAAACAAATACCCCTGGCCGCAAACCGGGCGATGCCGCAAACCGGAGACTCTACTCTAGCTCTCTCTTTTCAGAATGGCAATAGACAAAGATTTAGACCTATATAGATGGAGGGCGTTTAGACAGCAATAACCATCTGATTTGGGTCATTTCTTTAATAAAACTGACATTTGTTGTCATTCCCCAATACAGATGGCAACCCAGAGATCTCGTACCGTGGGGGTAGCTATAGCCAACAATGGCAGCTTTTTGTGTCAAAACATTTTCTCCCCGATTTTCTTTATTTAGATCTAATTTTCTGATTTCTAAATCAGATGTAAATTAGGTCGGTATGTCATTTGTCCTAATTACAGTTATCAAAATTTGATAACTTAATATTAAATGTATAATTTACGGACTTACTTATATGAATTATCCAATTTGTATTTCCGAACTGTGAAACGGTACGTTCATGCATTCGAAATATTACCCGGCGGCCGATATATTTCCGGGTCCACCTACCAAAACATAGCCAAATGGCCAATCAGAGCACTCGTTTTGTGGGAGTTCGTTGGTCAAGCTGGGCCTCGTACGTAGCTACGGTAGCTATTGGACGTTCGAAAAGAAAAAATGAATATTCATCAACTAAAACCAAGACGGATAATGTTGACGACGAGACTTTCTCGGATTAATCATTAATTTAGGATCTAAATGAGCAAGCTATCGTAAGTCAAATAAGCTATATAGAGTCTATATGTTATTTTTAATTTGTGTTGTAATTCCAGCAGTTATGAGGATGTAAAGAGTGAAAATCTCGTTGCATATCTCATTCATCGCGGTCCGGTCGAACCGAACCATTTGTTCCGTACAGTGCCTCACAGAAAGAGGTCCCCAGACTTCAGTCTCTGTAATCGGAGGTCTAGTGGAGCCAGACGTAGTCTCAGTGGAACAACCGACGATTAGAGAGACTGAAGTTTTCGGTCTAGAGGGCGTTTAGAAGGCTATCGTCTTACAAGGTGAATACATGTGATTAGTCCAATCTACATCTAGCCTACATGTGAAATGGTAATGGGTAATTAGGAATAACACGAAAATGATTGCATGGGACTGTAATGAACAATATAACAAAGAACTACGATACCTTGCAGGAAGAGTAAACGCCTAATTTTTCCAACTTCTTTGTTCTTGGAAAACTTCTGACTTGAGATTTCCGTTGTGCATTTCTCTGCAGATTGACAGACCTCGTAATTTCAGTCGGACTTAGCTGCGATCCTGAAGAACGCCGAGATTCTGTGGCTGAATCAACGATGCTTTGTTCGTCCTCAAGAGTAGCCATGATTGTTAAAAGTCATAATATCACTAGTCTTTGCGCACGTTACACAGCTGGTTTACGTACTGCTTGTTGAACTAAAGTTCGCGCGGAAACTGGCTCATTTTCTCTATTTGAGTGGGTACATGCTCGAGATCAGCCCGAGTGTGAAGGGAGGGAGGGGGGGGGGGGGGGGGGGGTAAAGTCAAAGTTGCAAAGTTAATATCATCTCCTTCAATTTAGATTTTTTTTTTATGAATGATTGCAAGACGATTGATATGTTACTTACAAGGCCCATATTCGGCCCAGGATGAAAATACATCCACGTATAACATATATCTAAAGTTCACCGTCTCTCTCTCTGTCTATATCTCCTTCCCTCTCTCTATCTCTCCCCCCTCTCTTTCACTCTCTCTCTCCCCCTTCTCTCTTCTTCACAACAAAATGAAAAGAGGAGTAACTTAAACAGAAGTTGTGTAAAGAATGTAATCAAGCATGATTGAACTCAACTTGATAACAATTAAAACCTGTATAATTCTGAATTGTATATCATCAAGGTATTCCTCCATTATTGCATGTTGCATTAGGGAATAGACTACTTGGGTAGTAGACGAACTGGTTGTAGACCAAACTGAAATTCACCGTTGCACTAAGCCATCTTATAATAAGGCAAAGTCACTTTCAATGTTTGCAGAAGGAATTTTGCTATAGGTACTCAAAACAAAGATGAAATAGAGTCAGGATTTTTATTTTTCAGTTCAAATTAACTTATAATTTGATGAAATGATCATGATTTCCTTTAACTTTGTCCAATTTAAAGAGGACCAAATGATCGTTTTTCAGATGAATGGTCACAACTAAATTTGTTTAATTCAGGGTGTTATTCATGAAGCATGGGGTCAGCTTGAAATGAGTGGACCTCGTATCACACACCCGAGAGAGCGGCATTTATTGATAACAGGTTTTATGAAACGGGGCTCAAATATGATTGTCTAGTTTTACTGGGTAGCAATGAAATTACTTCTTATATCAGATCCTTCCTTGTTTTATCAAAGCTAGATAAAACAATAGTATAAATAAAAGTAAAACAAAAGACTAGCATAATTATTGTGTTACATGTTTTATGAGAGTTTGATCTCCTTGTATCAGGCACCACTGTGTCAGTATCATCAAAATAGCTGAAATGGATTTTCAGTTTTCTCAACTGTAATCTATCTCGTATTTCAATTCAAAATGTATCTATTGAAAAATACATACATGACAACATTCAAGGTGACATCTGCACAGTGTATACAAAAGAACAAACATGAAAAGAGGGCTTTGCATTAGGAGAAACGATTCACATGATTGGGCATTGGTAATAACCACAAATTCCATACTCTACAATGTAGGGCTACATCATCATAGAGATTATATTGCGGTAAAAGAGGGGGTTTTCACAAAGTTTTTATTTATTTCGAAATTCTCATGATTACCACATATCTCTTTGCCATGATACGCAATATCAATCAAAGAAGCCAACAGTATATAAAAGAAGTTCCCAACATGTGTACTTAAAGATAAACTTGAGTACTGCATGGTAATGCGATTGCATTATGAAAGAAAAGGTGTGGAATGGATCAGAAAAGTTGATCATATAGCATGTAAGTAATGGTGTGTAATGCAAGGTTCTAGAGTTATCAAAATCATCATAAATTTGGCAGAGTCTTTAAAAGTAACAATCACTTACACAGATAGATGTATATGGGACAACACACATGGTGTCGGGGCTACTACCCTGATTTCCTTATCTTTTTATGCTCATTACTCAGCCAGTATACATTTTCTTCCAAAATTGTTTGGCACATGACATTTATTTGTAACCTTGAACATTCAGTGTAAGTTTCTTTAGATTCTGTGAGAATTCATTTTCTTTTTTTACCAGAACTCAAGTTTATCTTTAATGAAAATGGAATGGTTAACCATGGACCTACTAGTCCATGGGTTAACCAAAACGTTTCAGGGTTGTATCCATAAATAGGTGCATGATAATCATAAATGAATTCAAAGAATGTATATAAAACACATGTATTTGTACCTTTCCAGCAATTATCATCGGGCCCGTTCACACATAACAATGATTACGATTTGGATCGGGATGCAAAGATCGATTTCTTTTTCGGCAACTATTCATACACAGGAAGAAAAATTTGGGGGAAAAATGCAAGACTTACTGCAAATTGGATCGCGATGCGAATCGCGAAGATTATATGAAATTATTCTGTCCATGCACACACGAAGATATAAAAAGATTTTTGGATCACGATGCAACAATCAGTTTTTAAATCTCAGTTTTTTTCTGTAGGTGTGAACCTCATGATTATAAGCCTCATATATTGCTTATTTCATTCCCTACCCACTAACTTATTTGATTTAACTTTACTTGATCTAACTTAATTTAGATTTCAGTATTTTCTAGCTCTGATTTATGCAAGTATTTATTTACATACCGGTACATGTATTTCCAAATTCTTCTAACGTTGCCTATATCCGGCGGGTCCTAGGAAATTCATCTTATAATAAGAAAATTATATGCAAAGGCTTCAGTTTTCCAGGAAATTGTATTTCAGGAAGGGTGTATTCTCATTGAAAGCTCACTCTAAAGTGACACAGGTCTTGGTTTCAGTTGAATAGAACATTTCCTCTGTTTGGAGCCAGAAGGGCATTAATTCAAAACAATTTACATAGTGTTGAAAGAGAAGGTTGAGTTTAATATGGGGAGAGGTGAACAATAATTTGTGAGCGTTATCATTGTTATTATGCAATTATGGAAGAACATCGGAGAAAAAATGTTCCCTGACAAGCGTGGCTCTTCAAATGCCTTCATATTCTAAATATGACCAGTAACAGCTTAAAAATGAGGCCCGATTGTTATGCCACATTTCGTGTAGTCCCATATGCAAGACTGGGTCAAATTTCTTATCATATTGATGGTTCCAGAACCTTGCAGTACCATAGACGTCTATTACGTCTATGGCAGTACACACTAATACATCTATGCTACATGGTCAACTACTTTTGATCGATTCCACACCGTTTATTTCACAATGCAATCGCATGACCAGAACTCAACTTTATCTTCAACTCCCTTCTGGCGGTGGTTTAAATCAGTGCGTCACATAACTTCATACAATATGGGCGTTAATTCAGGTCATGATATTGGCATCTTTGCAAGTCTTTTCAGTGAATCTTTGCCAATAAATTGATTAAAAATCGTATGTCCAGAATGGTATTTCATTAAAAAAAAGTTTACAATCTTCAAACTGATGTTGCATAAAAGATAGAAACTATATGATATTGTGTGCAGAAGACACCTCCCACACTGATTGTAAGCAATTATTTTTTACTTATATGACATCATGAATTGATGGAATAGAAACAACTAATTTAACGGTAGTGGTGCTAGCAGAGTTTGACACAAAAGAGAAACTCATATCTATCAGATATTGCCAATCATAAATGTATGTATACATTCAGTAGAATGTGATATCATTTGATTGATACGAGAGAGAGAGAGAGTAAATAAATAATATTGTACAATAAATGCACAAACTGACATATTGTGTCTGTTTCTTCTTTATTTTTTGTTTATCTTTCTACTTGCCATCAAGCAGTACAAGAAGTAAAGTTGTGAGAATTTCTTTATATAAGAGGAGTATAACACAGGACTATTCAGTTCCGGATACTGGTATCCTTTTTTCAGTTTCATTTATTTCTCCTCAAGAGATCAACAGATAAAATACATATATAAACAGACAAATGTATGACAATACTTGAATTATACAAAGTGAGGAAGGCAGTGGCCCAAAAGAAAACAAATCTTTTAAGGGGCCAACCCTTTAAGAAAACAAGATATAATATCTAACATAAAAAACATCAAAAAGGAACACAAAATACGATGAGGAATGAAGTACCTAACCTAATAAACAAATTAACAAAAGAGCCTAATATTGAATCTAATATTTAGATAATAAAAATACTTTATATTTCCTTCTAAAACATATTTATGCAGCACATGTACATGTATTTTGCTAAAACAATTCGGCTAATCTCTCCTGTCATTAATTGAATAGATCAGAGTTTTCAAGAAAGACGACTTCTCTGGGATGTCCCTGTACCTGCATTTCAACATACACATCAGAACCTCGTGGAAGGTAGGATGCTTCAAAGCATATAAGATCGGATTGACGCATACATTACACAGAAAGAGAATGGTTAACCAAGGAACGGCAGGGTCACTGGTGGGTATAAGATAGGAGATGGATGGAGGCATCACGCAGATTGTATAGACACAGACAATGATGAAGAGATTGATGGTTATCTTGCGCTGTTGCTTGTAGCGAGCTTCCTGATTTTCCCTTGCCAGTGTTTCTCGAGTGATGATTTGAACTGTTGGTGGCGTCATCGTGTCGGAAGGCGATATGGTTGTAGATCCTGCTCGGTCTGGTTTTAGCGCTTTCATAGGTGCTTTCGAATGTCCCCCATTTGTCATTGTTTCGCTTTCACAAAGCTCTGCTGCGTTAATAGGTTCTGCTAAGATTTCCCGATCTTCAGGTGGCGCGGTTTTGATGCCGTCACTTTCATTAAACCCAGGATTGATGGTACCATGATTGGGAGCATCTGGTTGTTCTTTCGACAAATCCTCAATGATTGTGATGTTGACGACTTCGCTATCCGTCGTCGAAATCATGACCGAAGGGGTCATGATGGCGTTCATCTCTTGTTGATGACGCCTGAACATTTTGAAGATATTGAAATAGCAGACGATGATGACGATAAAGGCGGGAAACTGAATGAGGAGAGCTAGACACACCGTCAGGGTCAGATAGTCCGAATTTTCATTCTCCGTATTCTGCGCGCACACTTTGTACTGAAGAGCATAGCCAAGGGATCCAACGTCCAGTAGTAAAATGATAAACATGAGAACAATTGGGTAGAGCCAGGTAAAGGAAACCATTATCACGATATTCCGAGTGCTAAATGCGTTGTTGAACTTGGGGTTGGGTTTCAAAATGG